CTTGGGTTCCTGCACCAACATGGGATACCTGGAAGAAGTTCCTGGCTCCTGGCTTCGGATTGGCATAGCACTGGCTGTTGCGCTCACTTTGGGAGTGAATCATCAGGCGGAAGATCTTCCTCTCTGTCTCTCCTTCTCTGTATATTCTGATTTTCCAATAAAATAAAATAAATCTTAAAAAAAAAATGAGAACTTTATTTTTGCTTAGTAGTCCAGTGTACCTTACGAAAGGGGACATTTGCTTTTACCTGCTCTAATACAAATTTTTATATTAGTCAATAGCTTAAATGCAGATAACAAAATAGGTGAATATGCATCCAAGGAATTTTAAAATGCATTAGATATTCCTAGAATTTGCAGGCATTGAATTTGACTTAGAAAATGTTCAGGAAAGAAAGGCAACTGTTAGTTGTTTGGTAATAATCATGCCACAGATCATCCCATGAGTACTGTTCCCATATGCACTGACAAGCAAATACCATATTTTCTACTAGCTCTGTCCATGGGCCTCCACTGCTGTGGCTTTTTAACAAAATGAATTCTTTTCCCATCCTAAAAGCTTTTAGGCCAATGTATGGATTCTGTGGTCCCTGGTGTTAACTGGCTTAGCCTGTATCATGTGAAAACACAAAACCATATTTGGTATTCTCATTCTGTAGGGAGTCAAGCTTTTCCCTGGAGTGAAGATTTCTCTAAAAATAGAAGATGATTGAGAGCTAAAAAGAAAAAAAAAATTCACTACACGCAGAGCTCAAGTTCATATGTTTATAGGAAATCCTAAGAATGTGATGAAGTATGGGGAACCAAGAAAAGCATTTGTATACATAAATGAGAACTATAAAGTGTGATACTTTGTAAGAAACTTTTGTGGGCTTTTGTTTTTCCATGAAAATATCTTTGGCACAAATTTGAACTTCCTGCCTCAAACTATAGTGTTTAGCAAACAAACATGAACAGTAATAGCATGAATAAGTTTCTAAAAGCTTAAAGTAAGAATTGGTAATTGGCAAAACTCAAGAAATTTAATGTATATTTGTGCAGGGAAGAAGAGGTTTTGTCATTTCATTTCTTGCATAATAAAGTATGTTACATGTTACCTGTAGTTTATCATAACTATGACGAATATTTGCAAACAAATCTTACATGCAGTTTCCTCTGAAGGTTGTTTCTCTGAACGGCTGTATGTAGTTAGTTGATAGATGTTTCTTTTGGGGCTTCTATTGCACCATACAAATTTTAAGTAATATAAAAGGCAGTGCAAACCCTGCTACTTTTACTTGCCTTTTTCTTACTGTCTTAATCCCTATGTTCTTCAAACTAAATTGTATTGCTCAGATGTTTCTCTGGAAATCTTAGTTTGGTGTAAAGGGTGATCGAATTCAGATATTCTACTATTTGTCTATAGATGCTCTAACTTCAACAAAGTAATTCTACCTTAAAGTCTTTTTTTTTTTTGGTCTTGCATGCAATCCTGCAGACTTCTTTTTATTTTCAATAAAAATGAATGAATAAACCTGTGTATGTGGCAGTTATTCTTCACTAATAACATTTTACAGACCCAACAGTCAGGTGACACAGAGGAGTGGAGAGGATAGCACAGAGTTCTCAGATACTCTGCACCTTGTGTCCCTTACTGTTAACATCTTGCAAAACAAACTTCTCAAACGTGAGAAATTAACATTGGTGCAATACTGTAGGCTTCAGGCTTCAATACCTTCAGTTTCCCACTAATATCCTTCCTCTAGTCCAATATTGAATTTAGTCTCCCTGTCTCCACTCTCCTTCAACTGGAATAGAGACCGTTGGTGCCTTAGGTGCCTAGGAAAGAATGGTCAAGGGCCCGAGAATACGAGTCAAGATCATCTGAGAAGTTTAGTTTCTTTCTGCCCTGCCCCCCACATTATTGTGTGCCTTGCCATGGTGGGGAATGTCTTCGGTAGGTCTTACCGCTTGATCTAATCCTAGCAAGCAACCATGTGTGGGACTGGAAACTCGATACATCCATGGCAGGCTAATTTTTAGGTTGATAATTTTGTATGTCCCATGAATATCCAGAATACCGTTGACAGGAAAAAAGTCCTTCAGCCATGACATGAAGCAATAATCAACAACTCTGAAATTTAATATTCCTTAAGGCCAGGTCAGCTACTAAGCCTTGCCCAAAGTGCTGTTGACTGTGTCTCAGGGTGTATGGAAGCCTGTAAGGGGGGACAGGTACTGGTGGTTCCCATGGAGCAGACCATGAGGAATGCCCATCCGCAGCCCAGTCTGGTGCCCTTTGGTGATTGTGGGCATGGCATGCCTGCATGCCTCTCATTTCCCCTTGGGCTCATAGTTGTGCGCTGGAGGACTTGCCATTGTGCAGGAAGTATACAGAATTTCTCAGCATCCTCATGCTTTTTCATGGCCAAGGTTGAATACAGACCTTGGTACAAAATATTTGGTATACTGTACTGCAGATGCCAGCTGTCGCCTCATGACCATCTGGCTGACAGGCACTGGTTGTCCTGCCCCTCCACAGTACAACGAGGGAAGATGGTACTGAATGTTGGTAGCTCTAGAAAAGCATTAAATTCCGAATATTGGACTAGCATTGTAGTAAAACAATGCTGCCAGCCTGCAATGCCAGGATTCCATATGAGTGCAAGTTGGAGCCCCAGCAGCTCCACTTCTGATCCAGCTCCCTGCTAATGCACTTAGCATTAATTAATTAATGGAAATTAATGGGAGATGACTCAGGTGCTTAGCCCCTGCACCCATGTGGGAGACCAAAATGAAGCTTATGGCTTCAGCCTGACTCAGTCCCAGCCTTTGTAGCTATTTGAGGAGAGAACCAATGAATGCAAGAATGTATCCTTCGTACCTTGTAACTCTGCCTCTCAAATAAATAAGAAAGTAAATTTCTTTTTAGAAAGTTCACCTATCAGGCCTGGCCCGGTAACCTAGTGGCTAAAGTCCTTGCCTTGCATGCACCGGGATCCCATATGGGTACCGGTTATAATCCCAGCAGCCCTGCTTCCCATCCAGCTCCCTGCTTGTGGTCTGGGAAAGCAATCAAGGATGGCTCTAACCCTTGGGACCCTGTACTGGCGTGGGAGATCTGGAGGAGGCTCCTGGCTTCTGGCTTTGGATCAGCTCAGCTCTGGCCATTGTGACCACTTGGGAAGTGAATCATTGGATGGAAGATCTTCCTCTCTGTCTCTCCTCTCTGTCTCTCCTTCTCTCTGTTTATCTGCCTTTTCAATAAATAAATAAATAAATCTTACCAAAAAAAGTGCCACCTATTAATCCTACTGGATGTATATTGTTTTCCCACCAGTGCAAAGTCAAAAAAGTCCTAAGTTGGACCTTGTAAGATTGGGACCAACTCTCTGTAGGTACTGCTAAGTGTAAGTCCCAGGTGGCCACAAGGACCTTTCTGGGTCTTTGTGAGTACCATTATTCTACCTGTTCTTCAATGTTATTTGTTCCTTAAGATCCAATACTTTGTTTTGGAAGTGTAGGGTGGGGTTGACTTATTTGAAAAACATAATTACAACAACAGCTAGGGCCATTCGAAGCCAAAATTCTGTCTGGATCTCCCCTGTGAGTGTCAGGGATTCAAGTACTTGGGCTGACAGCCACTGCCTTGCAGGCACGTCAGCAGGAAGCTGGATCAGAGAAGTACAGAGTAGGAACACTTACCAGGCACTGATTAAGGTGTTAGTGTCCCAAAGTGCAGCTTAACTGCCCTGCCAGGATGGCCACCCCAGCACTTCTCCTTTTGCTACTCTGAGTAAGCATTCAGTATGTGTTTGTCACATGATAAGCAGAAGGAATGGGATCCCTGCTTTGTGGCCTTGTACAGAAATGCATTTTCTAGGGAGATGTTTTATAACTTCTTGATCCTCTGGAGGATACCCTCTACAAGATTGAAAAAAAAATTTTTTTGAAAGATTTATTTATTTATTGGAAAGTCAGATATACAGCTAGGAGGAGAGACAGAGAGAAAGATCTTCCGTCTGATGATTCACTCCCCAAGTGAGCACAACGGCCGATGCTATACCGATGCAAAGCCAGGAGCCAGGAACTTCTTCTGGGTCTCCCACGTGGGTGCAGGGTCCCAAAGCTTTGGGCTGTCCTTGACTGCTTTCCCAGGCCACAGGCAGGGAACTGGATGGGAAGTGGGGCCACCCGGATTAGAACTGGTGCCCATATGGGATCCCAGGCATTCAAGGCAAGGACTTTAGCCGCTAGGCCACTAGGCTGCTGGGCCCCAGATTGGAACAGTTTTTGGGAGACTGTATGCTTGGTTTTAGAAGTCATATAAAACTCTAACATACTAAATGTGATCTCATTTCAGAATCCCACTGTGAACGCTTGCTTGTAAACCCTTTACATTAAGATTATCCCAATCATGTAGTCTCATATAGTTTATGTTAATTTTGTTTGTTGCCATTTCTTTCTCTGGAATTTGTTGCTTTTACCCTTTGATGTCTGATGAAAGGTTTGCCATTCTTTTCTAAGTTATTACACCCCATAGTAAATGACTTCCCTGTAGCTTCTCAAAGTTTGGTTCATTGCATAAACAGAGTCCATGTAAACCAGTGTCAGGGCAATCATGAAAAATATTAATATTCTGTGTAATAGTGTATACTTAGGAATAATAATAATGCTTCATAAGATAAATTTTTACCAGCTGTTCTATATATCTTACCATGATTCACTGGAGAGTTTTAAAAGCATATTTTGCTAAGATCATCCTGGAAATTTAGTTTGCAAACCTTTGACTCAAACTTCCACACACTAATAAACTGGCTTCCCCTTTACCACCGGTGTCTATTGCATTTGCAAATAATTATTTAATCTCTGAAAGATCAAGAGTTATTATTTTGGCAAGTTTATAGACTTCCAAAAATTGTATAGTATAATATCTGTCTGCTTTCGGAATTCATTTTTAGTGAACGACTTGCAAAAGAAGCAAATCTAAAATTTGTCAATTATTTTTCTTTTTGTTTCAGATATGTTGGTAACCTTTCCAGAGATGTGACAGAAGCTCTAATTCTCCAGCTTTTTAGCCAGATCGGACCCTGTAAAAACTGCAAAATGATTATGGATGTAAGGGTATTACTTAGTCAATGTTCTTCTTATAAGATTTAATTAAATTTGTTATCTCTAGCAATTTTTACTTTGAATAGCCTAAATTCATAGAGTCTTTAGTAAGCTGGTAATGAATATTTTGGTGCCTGACTTTCATTTGTTTTACTAAATAAAGGAAGAAGAAAATAAAACTAGTTTCTAGAACAGATTAGAAGAATATATACTCTTTTCAAAAGCATCAGAGTTATTTCTTTTGTGATAGGTATTTGGTGTGGCAGTTAAGATGCTGATTGGAACATGCACCTCCCACATCAGAGTGCCTGTGGTCCTTGCTCATTTCTGTATTGCATCTCTCTGCTGAGATGTACCCTGGAAGGCACTGGTGGTGCTGCAGGTACTTGGGTCTCTGCCATCCATGTGGGAAAGCTAGGTTGAGTTACCCACTCTGGACCAGTCCCAGCCATTGCAGCCATTTGGGACGTGAACTGCATCCTCATCTCCCACAGAAGTGGCTAGGGCCCAAGTACTTGGGCCATCTTTCATTACCTTCCATAGGAACTGGATTAGAAGTGAAGAAGGAAGGACTTGAACCAGCGCTCCAATATGGAATGTCAGGGACATGAGCAGTGGCTTAACCCTGTGTGCCAGAACACAAGCTCCCTATGTAAGCTTTTGGTTTTCGTTTTTCAAGGAAAGAAAATTGTATGTATATATGGATGTCTGCTACTTTCTGTGTTTTGTGTGTGTGTGTGTTCTAGCTTTTTTGTAGTTGGTACTTTTAAAAGTGATTGGAGGTAACTGGTTCTGTATAAGTAAAGAGGACAGCTTTCTCGCATTGTCCATTATGATGCTGAAAATTTAAAATAAGAAAAAAAAGTGATTGGGGAGCCTGGTGCAGTGGCTCAGTGGCCACAGATGGAAGGTTTTTCTTTCTGTCTCTCCTTCTTTTTGTAAATCTGCTTTTCCAATAAAAGAAAAAAAAGATTACTTGGGGTCCAGCGCAGTAGCCAAAAGACAAGTCTTCACCTTGCATGCGCAAGGATTCCATATGGGCACCGGTTTTAATCCTGGGAGCCCCACTTCCCATCCAGCTCCCTGCTTGTGGCCTGGGAAAGATGTTAAGGCTCCTGGCTCCTGGCTTAACATCGGCACAGCTCCAGTTGTTACGGCTACTTGGGGAGTGCAGTGAATCATTGGATGGAGATATCTTCCATTTGCTGGTTAACTCCGTATTTGGCCATAATGGCCAGAGCTAAGCTGATCTACAGCCAGGAGCCTGTTGCTTTTTTTAATCTCCCACATAGGTGCAGGGTCCTAGAGCTTTGCACCACCCTCCACCACTTCTCCAGACCGTAAAATGGGAGCTGAACAACTGGGATACAAACTGCTATCCACATGGGATGCCAGTATTCACAAGCAAAAGATTGGCCCGTTGAGCCACTCTCCTAACTCCTACTGTCTAAGTGTGTATGTATATATATATGTATGTATACATAGTGCCATCAGTGAATTTTGTTGTTGCCTGTTTTGCTTTAAAATTCATTACTAGGAACTTTTTAAGAACAATCATTTTCGCTTTTCCCTCAATATTCCCTTTACCTTAGATATATGAATAAATTTTTTTTTAAAAGAGAACAATCTTTTTTTTAAAGATTTATTTATTTATTGCAAAGTCAGATATACAGCAAGGAGGAGAGACAGAGAGGAAGATCTTCCATCTGATGATTCACTCCCCAAGTGAGCACAACAGCCAATGCTATGCCGATCCGAAGCCAGGAGCCAGGAACTTCTGGGTCTCCCACACGGGTTCAGGGTCCCAAGGCTTTGGGCCGTCCTCGACTGCTTTCCTGGGCCACAAGCAGGGAGCTGGATGGGAAGTGGAGCTGCTGGGATTAGAACTGGCACCTATATGGGATCCCGGTGCGTTCAAGGTGAGGACTTTAGCCACTAGGCCACCAAGCCCAACAACAATCATTTTCTTGTAAAAATATGACATTTCTTTATTTTTGGTAACTTTCTTGTTTTGAATTTCTTTTTTTGACAAGAAGGTTATGGAGAAAAAAGGTTTTGTTTTGTTTTGTTTTTAAAGATTTATTTATTTTTATGGCAAAGTCAGATATACAGAGAGGAGGAGAGACATAGAGGAAGCTGTTCCATCTGATGATTCACTTTCCAAGTGAGCACAACAGCTGATGCTATGCCGATGCGAAGCCAGGATCCAGGAACTTCTTCTGGGTCTCCCACACGGGTGCAGGGTCCCAAAGTTTTGGGCCATCCTCGACTGCTTTTCCAGGTCACTAGCAGGGAGCTGGATGGGAAGTGGAGCTGCCAGGATTAGAACCGGCACCCATATGGGATCCCAGGCATTCAAGGCGAGGACTTTAGCCGCTAGGCCACACCGCTGGGCCTGAGAGAAAATGTTAATGGACTGTAAAGTCATTTGGCATTTTACACTGATGGGTATAAAATACTGAATTTTGTTCCTGAGTCTTAATTTGTGATAAATCTTGAAATCTTTACTTATTAATCCTAGCTACCTGGAATAGCAGCAGAGTAGGGGAGAAGAGATTATGAGAAAAAAAAATTGTGCCCAGAAAGCCCATATTCTGGTGTGTACATTTGGCACAGGGATTAGGCTACCCCTTAGGATAATCACATCCCACAATGGCATGCCTGGGTTTGCAACTTGCCTCGACTTCTCCATTCCAGCGCCTGCTGATGTGTACCGTGGGAGGCAGTGGGTGATCGCTTAGATACTTTTGGTCTCTGCTACCCATGTGTGAGATCAAAAGGAGGTTCTTAGCTTTGGCTTGCCCCCATGTTGACAGTTGAAGGAATTTTTTAGGGCCCGGCGCAAAAGCGTACTGGTTAAAGTCCTCGCCTTGCATGCACTGGGATCCCGTATGGTCACCGGTTCTAATCTCGGTGGCCCTGCTTCCCATCCAGCTCCCTGCTTGTGAACTGGGAAAGCAGTCGAGGACAACCCAAAGCCTTGGGACCCTGCACCTGAGTGGGATACCTGGAAGAGCTCTTGTCTCCTGGCTTCGGATCGGCAAAGCACCAGCCGTTACAATCACTTGGGAAGTGAACCACTGGCTGGTAGATCTTCCTCTCTCTCTGTATATGTGCCTTTCCAATTCAAATAAATAAATAAATACATCTTTTTTTAAAACAGATGTATTTATTTTTATTGAAAAGGCACATATACAGAGAGAAAGAGAGAGAGGAAGATCTTCCGTCTGCTGATTCACTCCCCCAACTGGCTGCAACAGCTGGTGCTGTGCCAGTCTGAAGACAGAAGCCTCCTCCAGATCTCCTACACGGGTGCAGGGTCCCAAGGCTTTGGGTCATCCTCACTGTTTTTCCAGGCCACATGCAGGGAGCTAAAAGGGAAGTGGAGTGGCTGGGGTATGTACCAATGTCCATATGGGATCCCAGTGGATGCAAGGCGAGGATTTAGCCACTAGGCTATAGCGCTGGACCCTGTTGAGGAAATTTGTGAAGTGAACCGTTAAGTGGAAGATTTTTTTTTATTTCTCTGCCATTTTATATAGTATTGAAATATTAATATATATATGTAGTTAAAAATTAACTCTTTAAAAGGTCCACATCGCGAATTAACCATGGTTTTCTTTTACTCTGAGTGTCAGACACATTAAAGAAATATGTGCATTTGTCAATGTAAGAAAGTAACATATAAAAGAGCAAGGGTAGAAATCAAAGCAAAATTGTAGACATGTTTAGTTGAACTGAACTTGTGTAGTTGAAAGAAATGGCTGTATGTGTAAGGTGATGGTGGGAAACGGCGTAATCAGTATTTATAGCTCTATCACCATGTAGGAGACTTTTCGAAAGCTCTAGTTTAAATTACAGAAGCATCATGTACCCTTATAAAGAAGACAGCTTTCTAGAAAATGTTTGTTTTCCAGGGTTTGTTTATTATATTATCTAAAAGGGGACTTGTGGAATATTCCCTTCATCCTCCATAGCCTGGTAGCAGAGATGCGTCGAACTTAGCTTTACAAATCTAGATGATTGTAAGATAGTGGAAGAATATAGCTTCACGAAGGTTTTGTGGTTCTTCTCCAACAGACAGCTGGGAACGATCCCTATTGTTTCGTGGAGTTCCATGAGCATCGCCACGCAGCTGCAGCGCTGGCTGCTATGAATGGGCGGAAGATAATGGGTAAGGTAAGCTGTCGTGATTAAAGGAGGTGACTTGCCCTGGGAAATGTAAACTCTATATGGCCTCATTTCCTCTTGGAAGCATTAAATTCACCCATTAATCAGATTTCATTTTGAGAAGGTGAGAAAAGGCATGCAGAGGCAGAGTGCAGCCATTTCTCTGTCCAGGGAGCCTAGTAGATGGTAGACACTGTTACTCAAACTTGGATGGAGTGTCTACAACTCTGGATGCTAATGGGGAAGAATAAAAGGGAAAATTTTTCCTGATATTTAGGTGAGAAAGTGTAATTGAATGTTAACAGAAGCATCTAGAAATAAGGATTTGTCAACATTTGCTTAAGTGTAGCAAAGCTGAGCTTTGGACCTTTTGCATTGGCAGTCCCTTGAATGGTTCATCTCAAACATAGACTTTCCTGTGTGTGCATCGATGCAAATCTGATATTGAGCATTATTTGCATAAAGTGTAAATGTAGAAACATTTTTTTAGGAAGTCAAAGTGAATTGGGCAACGACCCCCAGCAGTCAAAAGAAAGATACAAGCAGTAAGTATACTTTATACTGTCTGGACATTTGTTTTTATTATACTCATTAGTTTTACTGTAAAGCATATAAACATCATACATATTTGCAGTAATGTTTTGATCGTTATCCTAAGATATGATTGAATGTGTTTGTGTTAATAAATTTAAGAACAAATCTAATCTTTGTCATCAGGTAGTACCGTTGTCAGCACACAGCGTTCACAAGGTAATTGTATCTTCTTAAACATAAAATGAAATATCTTGAAAGGGCATTCACTAACCACCTGACATGTTTGTGTTGATGTTGCGGGGAGGGAGAGGGAAGTGGTAATGTTTCTATTTGTCTTGGCAGCATTTCGCCCTTCTGCCCAGTGTTGAGCAAATGTGGCTTGTCCACTGCTTTGGTACTAGTTCAAGTGCTGTGCCTTCGGTAGCAGTTGATGCCTTAGAAATACTTTTACCATCTAAAGGGCAAGATACCCTGCCTCCTTGAGATCTCCATCTGGGCTTCATATCCAGATCTTCCAAGGGCTTGAATTACTCCTGAGACTGTCTCCCTAAGAGCAGCAAATGTGTTGTTTAAGTTCTGCCAGAAAGGGGTAACTTTCCAAATACACTTTGTCAAAAACTGATATATATGTGTCTATTTTAAAGTGTTGATCCAATCGTTTTCCATTTTTACAAGAATTGTCTCTTTTTAAAACTTGCAATATGGGACGGTTATTTCTCTCCATTGCTTTTTGACGGTTTTGACATAAAGTGAAGGGATTACTGTTTTCATTCTGTTGCCTTCAGTCTTAGTTCACTTGCACATGGATTCTCATAACTGAATGGTGTAATGTCTGGGCAACCAAAACTGTTGGCTTTTGAGAAAACTGTCAAATACTTTAACATCAAACTGTTGCAATGCAAGGTATTTCTTTGATTGTTCTTCGCAAACTGTGGTTACTAAGTGTGTCTCATGTTTAGCTTCAGTAAATTGTCTTAACTGAGGCAAATATAGTCTGTATAACCCACAACACCACTATTTTATTTTAAATTATGAAGTGTTACTATAGTGGTGAACTGAAAAAAAGTAAGCTACTATTAGAATGGTAATTATTACATTATTTTGTGTGTGGAACTGAAGTTTGTTTATTCTTAGTTCTTAGGCCATTGTAAAGATCGACTTATCACCAGCAATATTAAGTGTCAGTTCCAGCTAGATATAGAAATAGTTTTAGGAGATTCTTTTCTATTTGCTACTTGATTCGTTGTGTTAAAATTCATTGATAATTTATATAGATATAGGCTAGTGTTTTATTTATACTTCATTATAAACCATAAGTTGTTTTAATACTTAAATTCTAAAGTTTTATTTTTCTTTTCACTTCCCCTTCCTTCTCCTTATAAGATCATTTCCATGTCTTTGTTGGTGATCTCAGCCCAGAAATTACAACTGAAGATATAAAAGCTGCTTTCGCCCCATTTGGAAGAATATCGTAAGTAACAAAAAATAAAATGTTTTTAGTTAAAAAAATAATCATATGTAATTTGAAAATAATTTTATTGTTAATTTTGTACACTGATTTTAACACTTGGATGTATTATGTTTAGAAATCACTTGAGAAGTTCAGGTCCAAAAATTATTTTTTTATTGATTAATAGATCTTTGGTCCACTTAGGCATTTGTAATGCTTTTAAAAGTAGTATTAGCTTTTAAGAGACAAATTTTGCATTAAGTAATTCCCGTTTCTTGCATAAATTTCTTGCTAATTTAGTGGTAATCTGGTAAACTGGGGCTATGACTAAGGAATTTAGATCAGGTGGGCACTTATACTATGCATTTTGTGTCAATGTAGTTTAACAAAAAGAACATAACAATTCAACCTGTTAGAAATCAGTTCGTGTTATTTTTTTAGGTATCCAACCCATCTCTCATTTTTAACTGTTAACAAAATACTAGTGTCTTATAGTATTTTTTGTGAAGCACTGTCTTGCTTGCATTTGTTATTAATCATACATTTTAGGCCCATTTTAACTATCTCACCAAGATACCACTCATCATAGTTGAACTTTAATATTTTGGAAGCACACCATATTGAAGTAAGAACAAGAAGTTGCTTAAAATTCCTAGCAGTAAGCGTTGAATTTAGAAAAAAAATTTTTAGGGTTTCTGGTTGCTTTGTTATTGTTCCAGCTAGTAGAGTAGTAAAATGAAATGGCCAGCTATGGTTTGGTTGGAACAGGCAGGAGGGATGAGAAGGAGAGGATGCTGGAAGGTGAAAGTCCTTAGCATTGGGAAGGGATCTTGGGGCTGTAGTCCATTGGTAAGAGAATGACAATGTGTTGTGACTAAAGAATGGCCAACTTAGAAGGCATTCACAAAATTACTGTTTACAAGTAGATCAGGTATATGACATTTTTTTTTATATTTGATAACTGATTAGGAGAGTAAAGTTTTAAATGTTGGAGTGTTTTTACTGTTCTAAAATCTTAACAGTGGTGAACTTTCTTTTAAGAAAATAACCTGACAATTCAAAATTAAACCAACCAAACAAACGAAAAAAAAGAAAGAAGGAAAGAAAGAAAAAAGAAAATACCTGACAAGGGGAGCATTAAATTTCGGCCTCTCAAAGGCTCTATAAATCTCTGTTCAGATTTTTGGATGTTTTTATTGTGGTGTGAAGAATCATAAATTTCATCCTGTTTTCAGAGTAGTCACAGTGTGTGCAGATTAAGTGGCAATTTTAGTAAATACTTGAAAGTATCTCTTTTTTTTTGAAGTATCTTTTTGGAAACATGGGACTTTAGTTTGGGATTAAACAAGATCATTTCAGCATTGCTGAGTTTTAAGTAAATCTGTCAGATGTTAGGAGTTCCATGACTTTTTAGTTGTGGATTAGTAGTCTCTGCAACATCTGTTGATGTCGTGTTTGTAGTCTGTAGATTTTCTGATTGTCCCCCATTGTTACACACACTGGTTTTCTTTGTAAAGCCTTTAGGTATTTTCAGTTACTGTACAAGAGGACTTTTAAGAGTTTACAGAAAAGTAGAACTTAAAGATACTTTTTTTTTTAACTGCAAAATATGTTTGAAGTTCATTTATAATTTTTTCATTATACACATTTTCCAGTAAGTTTTAAAAGACTCCTCTTGTAATGTTTGAGCTTTAGGCTCTGCATAGTATTAGCTTTCCAGTATTTAAGAGAACCATTTGGCAGTTAGTAGCATATTTCTGTTGATGTTCTTAAAGGTGTTGTGTTAATCTAGGGGATGGAGGATTCTTGGGATACTCAGTTACTTTCTTAGAAAATTCCTAGAAAAGTGTTTGATTTGTGGAAGGTATAAAATAAATGATGATATATTAAGATATTTAGTGTACAAATATGCTTTCCCTCATTTACACCTATAAATCTTTTCTATTGCTTGAGTTTAGAGTGCTGTAGTAACTGTTGGTAGACCGAATCCATCACCAAATTAAATGCATGTGTACCATACAGATAACTGGAGTGTCTTTACATACTGAAAGTGATTTACATTAGTTTTCCTTTTTCCCACCACCTCTTTGTCATTTTGACCTGAACACTTAATAAATCACTCCTAAATTGATCTAAAATGTGTTTGTATATAATCCAATTAATATGAAATTTACATTGCATGGCTTTTTGACTTTTGTTGTAAAAGTGGCTGTTCTTATTCATGTGTCCTGAGGGAACAAGCATTGTAACATAGCTGGATAACTTAAAAACAGATTGCCTATGAAGCAAAATTTCAGTCCAATTTTTTGAGGTATGGAGTTTTAGCTGACATGGCTGCGTTTTTAACTCAATCTCAAATAATAGGGCTCTGGTTATTTTGCAGAGTGTCTCTGAAGAATGGACAGAATTGCCCTGGCTAACTACAAGCTACGGTTCACAGTGGATAAATGTTGGCGTGCTTTTTTACTTTCTGACTTTTTAAAATTTTGCTTTTATATCTTGTAGTTTGCAATCAATCTTAATATAAATGAATGCTGTTAAGAAATTCCATGTAAAATCTTTTCTTGTATAGTTTAAAACTATAGTGTGTGCTAGAATTTATCTCCAATGATTTAACTTGAAAATGTCAAGTTCTCAAAATTTACCCTAGTCCAAAAAAGGGAATATAAAACTGATATGAGAAAATGAAATAATCAGTTTAGGAAATATATGCCTTTTTAAATCTTTTTAGTTTTCAGTTATCTATTTTGTTTTTAGTACTTAGGTGGAGTACTCATGATATCAAATCTCAAATTGTAAATTGCATGGTTAAAGAAAGCCATTTATTTAATGTGACTATGACCCTTATATGGGATAATTCATTTGAATAGCTGCTTTTACCATGCTTATTCTTTAAAGCTTTAAAAAACATTTGAAGTGGGAGGCACTTTCAGTACAACATACATATATTTAGGAAGTTAATGATTTGCATGTTTATAAAATTAAGCCTCATTTGCTGATAAATGATAAGTTTGATAGAATAAAAAGGGTGAATTTTCATTAAAGGCTCACTTTAATGAAGGTGAAGGAACATGAAATGAGTTGTTTGAAATTCTGTTTTATATCCAGAAGACAATTTACAAACCTAAATAAGCTTGTGATTGTTTCTGTTTTCAGAGACGCCCGAGTGGTAAAAGACATGACAACAGGAAAATCTAAGGGATATGGCTTTGTCTCCTTTTTCAACAAATGGGTGAGCTCAATCAGAAGCGCCTGTGTAGTGCTGGAAGAGTCAAGAATGGAAGCTGAGTTCATTTGTCGCCTTCCTTTCATCTGCCCTTTGCTCGTGTCACTGAGAGTTGGCACCCATCCTGGGGGATTCTTATTTGGTTATTTATTCAACATTTGTTTCTTAGCATCTGATATGTGCAAGGTGCTAATTTTCAGACTATAGAAAATAGAAATGCTTAAATTATTCACCAAAGGTGGTTGTTGATGATCCTATTTGTGGATATAATTCATCATTTCCTTTTATAGTTCCATATTAATTTAAAAGTAGGTACTGAAACTCTCCGGTGGGAACTTTTTAATGTTTTGAAAGTTTCTCATTTTTGTCTTTTAGTTCTTTGAGGATTTATGAACACTAGTTTGCATTGGCTTGAAATTTCTGGTTCCTACTGGATAAAAGAATAGTGCAGTACTAATTATGGAAAGATTTCTACTGTGTATTGTTAGGTAAAGGGTTAGTTTGTGTATGAAGGAAGAGAGAAATTATTAGGAGTATATGTTTCTCTGAAAGAGCTAAACAAGAACCCTGGATAGCATTTCCTGTTTGGTGGTATAGATCACAAGAACTAGACAGATGGAATTTAGAGAAGAAAGCTTCTTGCTACTTTTTTTTTCTTTAGGGATTTATTTAATTGAAAATCAGTTCCAGCAAGAGATGGAGGGACAGAGCTATCTTCCATCCCCTGCCTCATTCCCCAAATAGCCACAGCGGCTGAGACTGGTTCATACCAAAACCAGGAGCCTGGAGCTTCTTCCAGGTCTGCCGGGTGGGTGTTGGGGCCCAAGCATGTGACCTCTCCTCTGCTGGATATAAATAGAGAGCTGGATTAAAACTGAAGCAGCCTGGACACAAACCAGTACCCATATGGGATGCTGATGTATCAGGTGGTGGTTTTACATGCTATACCACAACACTGGCTCCTATATTGTACTTTTTGAAAAATGCTTGTTTATTTGAAAGGTAGAACAGGTGCCACCATTGTGATACAGCAGGTAAGGATGTATCCTATAACCCCAGCATCTTTTTTTTTTTATTTTGAATTATGTGGTACATTTTTGTATAGACTGGGATTCCCCCCCAAACTCTCACCCCCTCCGTCATATTTTCTCATTTTGTTACAATAGTGTAGTCCTTCATAAGGAATCATAATTCTATCAGTCTCTTATTTAAGGGTACCCCGACATCGTTGGTACAGGCAATGTCAGACATTCCAGCATCCCATTGTCCACACATGTCCAACAGTTTCATTGGGAATCCATCTTTTGTCTGGAAGCAGGGATGCATGTTCCATGCCCCAAATCTGTGTATGATAGACTCCAGTACGCCATCACTATACATTACATAAGTGAGAAGCCATGAAACAAGGTCAACAACCAGTATGAGTTAGAACAGCCGCATCAACAACAACAACAACATCAACAACAAATTACAGCACCTTGAAAAAATAACGTGCCACTGAGTAACCAACACATGAGTGACAAAAAGGAAACACAGAAGTCTCTTGGGAAAAATGATGCTATCGAATAATTCATGAGCACGTGATGAATTCGACTAGAGAAAAGAGATTATTGGGAAGGAACCAAACTGAAATAAAAACATCAAAATACATGGGATACAGCCAAAAAAGCAAACAAACAATCAAAAACAGTATGGATTGGACTATTGGAGTTAAACTTTCCATGTTGGCTTCCTTATATAAGAGAGAGTATATGGTATTTGTTCTTTTGTGATTGATTCATTTCACTGAGCATAATGGTCTCTAGTTGGGACCACAAAAACCCAGCATCCTATATGGGAAGTTGGATCTTCTCTGCTGTTATTAAACAGTATAGTTTTTTCAGAAAAGTAGAAAAATAACCTATAAAATAGTTTTATAATCACAGTTTGAGTTCCTTAGAGAATTGATTGGCAGATGTTTTTTGTTTTGTTTTGTTTGTTTGTTGTTTTGCTTTGTTTTGATTGGCAGGTTTTTACAAGGCTTTTAGTGCCACTTGGTTAGTAGGTTGGGAGTTTTGACTGGACTCGGAACCCTTTTATCCATTTAAAGTTTTCTGGTGAGGCAGGTTAAGCCACCACATAAGATGCTAACATTCCATGTGAATGCCAGTTTAAGCTCCTGATGTTCCACTTCTGATCCTGCTTTCTGAAAATGGGCTGGGCGAGTGACAGAAAGTGGACCAAGCTCTTGGCTCCCTGCCACCCACAGAGAAGATCCAGAAGAAGCTCCTGACTCTGGATAGCCAGCCCAGCCAGGCCAGCCTGGCCTGACCTTTGTGTCCATGGGAAGATCGAACCAGAGGATGGGAGACCTCTAATAGTATCTGTCCCTCTCTCTCTCTAACTCTGCTTTTCAAAATAAATAAATACTTAAAATGGTTATGTAATATAGACTTCTACTATGTAAAACTCGATATTGGGGGGCTGGCATCAGTTGGTTCAATTAGCTAAAACCTCCAGCTCAAAGTGCCGGCATCCCATAGGGGTGCCAGTTTATGTCTCAGCTGCTCCACTTCTCATCCAGCTCTCTGCCAGTGTCCTGGGAAAGCAGTCGAGCATGGCCCAAAGCCATGGAACTCTACCCCTGCATGGGAGACTGGAAGAAGCTCCTGGCTTCAGATTGCCTTACTCTGGCATTGTGGCCAGTTGAGGAGTGAAGCAGCAGATAGAAGATCTTTCTCTGCTTTTCTCTATAACTCTGCCTTTTCAATAAAAATAACTAAATCTTAAAAAAAATGAAGCTCAAGATTAAATACATATTTATTAGAGTTATTTCTGATAACTCTCGGGCTGTTTACTGTGCCCTCCTCCCACTCACAGATCCCCGGTTCTGTTGGCTCTTACTTTAGGTTTTGTCTTCTGCTGCACTGCTCCTAGACTGGCTTGTAACGTTTTCTTTGTCTGGAATATTACAGCAATCTCATGAAGAGCCTTCTTTTTACTACCCACATTCCAAAACCATTTTCTTTTTAGCACTAAATAGATATGAATTAGACTGTAACCTCTTATTTTTATTATTTTTTTAAATATTGTTTACATAGTTGAGAGGGGTACATGCTTATGTGGGCCTCTGATTAGGTTGGGCAGGGTCAAGCTATGGAGGAAGTTGAGTGAGATAAATGTTGAATATTTTTTTCCTCCAGTGTCCCACAGGGGAAGAAGGGGAGAGGGCTGCTCTTTGCTGTCAAACTCCATCAGCACCCAGGATGGAGGACGGTCATTTGATGACGCCTTAGAGACCCAAGAATGGGGAATGGCGTTTAGAGGGTATTACTTCAGTAATTTTGATAGTTTTGAGATGTTTTTGGCTTCGTTGCTCCAGGGTTGAGAAAACTTTCTCAAGGTCTGTTGGTTGACCGACTCGCCCTAGTATACCCACTAAGTCAGGAATATGCTGCTAGCTTGGCCAGAAGAATTGTCCAACCTGTTCAGCTTTCCATCCTCTGATGAGGTACTCTACGTTCCTGGCTGGCCTAAGTGGGCTGGCCATCCTGTGCTCTGTGTGCATCTGGGCATGCTGTTCACTGCATGGGCATCAGCAACTGAGGAAGAGGCCCGATCCTGATACATGCACTCCAAGGACAGCCCATTCATCCTGTGATTTTTTTTCTGTGGCCAGGATCTGAGTCCAGTGATCTAGTTGGAGAGTTCCCCCAAGAAACCTTGCTTGGGTGACATCAGACTTGACTCTTTTTTTTTTTTATAGATTTATTTTTATTATGTTTTTATTGGAAAGGCGGATATACAGAGAGGAGAGACAGAGAGGAAGATCTTCCGTCGATGATTCACTCCCCAAGTGAGCTCAAAGGCCGATGCTATGCCGATCCGAAGCCAGGAGCCTCTTCCGGGTCTCCCACGTGGGTGCAGGGTCCCAAAGCTTTGGGCCATCCTCGACTGCTTTCACGGGCCACAGGCAGGGAGCTGGAAGGGAAGCGGGGCTGCCGGGATAGAACTGGCGCCCATATGGGATCCCGGGCATGCAAGGCGAGGACCTTAACCACTGCGCCACCGCGCCAGACCCCAGACGTGACTATTTTGTGTGCCAACCAGGTCTGTCACTTTCACCAGACAATGTAGCTGCCTCGTTAGTTCCATCTCAGCCCCATATCTTACATGAATGGACAGGTGTTGGGGCCTCGACCCAGCCAGCCTATCGCAGATCTGCTCACGTATACCAGTGGGTGCTGCGGCTTATCTGGGGGCACCCCCCATGGCCTACCTCTAGCCCGTTTTTGCATATGCCAGCTTCTGCTTCAGCCTAGGCCTGCCCAGCCCACAACTCATCTGGTTATCATCACATTCATGAGTGCTGCGGCTGTCTAATCCTAGCCAGCCCCCAGCCCACATGCACGCTGACAGGTACAACTGCCTTGTCCAGCCTGGCCCACCCCCTATCCTCATTCTCATGCTCACCAGCGATAGATACTGCCTAGCAGAGGAGTGCCTGCAGTTCTCGTGCCATGCATGCTCCCGGTCCTGGATCAGTGCCAGGGGCACTGAGGTCCAGGCTGACTTGACTTACTTCCAGTTTTGGCACTTGCCAGCTGGTGAAACTGCTTAACCTGGCTGGCCTGCACCCATTCTGAAGACGATGACAGTCTTCCTTAATATCTTCCCATTGCATTCTTTGGCATTCTTCCTTTTTGCCCTCTAGATTCCACTAAAACTGTTCTTTCACACTCCTCAGATGTATACCAAACGCTTTTCTTGCCTTGACACACTCTGCAATGCTTGTTCATCTTCTGGAACTTTGTTTCCCATAGTTTTGGATTGGGTAGCTTCTGTGCCTCTCATTCTCAGCTCAAATGTCATTTCAGAAAGAACTTCCCTATTTCTGCTATCCAAATATGTCCTCATGCCCGTGTTCCCCGCCTCAGCATTTTGTTTCAGTTATGGGGCTGAACACAATTCATCATTGCTTCGTTGATCGAAAAACAGTTGACCCCTGTGTAGCAGTGTGCTTCTTTACGGTGTATCCCCTCCTTAAGCTGGTGTCTACACCATGGCCATGGGCCAGGATTTATGAATGAATGAGAAGCCAAAAACAATCACTAATAACTTTGGTGAATTGTGTAAAATAACATTTTCATTCCTAACAGTCTGAGTTGTTTCATGAACTTTTTTTTTATTTTGTTTTATTTATTTGAAAGGTAGAGTTACAGAGAGAAGAAAAGGAGAGAGAGAGAGAGAGAGAGAGAGAGAGAGAGAGAGAGAGAGAAAATCTTCCATGCACCGGTTCACTCCCCCAATGGCCACAACAACCAGGCTAGGTCAGGCTGAAAGCAGGAGTTTCATTCTTGTCTCCCACATGGGTGCAGTGGCCCAGGACTTCATCTTCTGTTACCTTCCCAGGCACATTAGCAGGAAACTAGGTTGAAAGTGAAGATGGGACTAAAACCAGCAGCCATATGGGGATGCTGACATTGCGGAAAATAGCTTAATCCATTAAGCCACAACTTTAGCTCCTTCATGAACTTTATGAAAGCCACTTCATTAGGGCTTTTGGGCTCATGAGTTTTTCACATGATTGGCATTCCCAGAGTCTGCTATCCAAATAAAATAAAGATGTCTTCATTCATTTGTTAAGTCACTGTTGGGATTCTGACATTCCATATCAAGTGTTGACTTCCAGTCCCAGCGATTCTGCTTCGGGTCTGCCTTTCTATTAATGCACATTCTGGCAAGCAACAGCAATGGCTTAGACATGGGAGTCCTTGCTGCACACAGGAAATCCAGACTGAGCTCTGGCCTCTTGGTTTTAACCTACGCATGCCGGGCTGTTGTTATAGGCGTTTCTAAGGAGTGAAACAGTGGATAGAACATTCTTCCCATCTTTCTCTTGTCGCTTCATATTAAATGAAAATAAATAAATAAAAATTGTTTTTAAAAAGGAAACAATCAGCATTTTTGGCATGGCATGTTAAGCCTCCCTCTACCTGCAACAGTGGGATCTCTTATAGCTGCCAGTTCCACTCCTAGCTGCTGCACTTCTTGTCCAGCTCCCCGCTAATACACCAGGGAAAGCAGCAGGGCATTGCCCACATGCTTGAGCTCCTGCCGCTCACATGGAGACCCAGAAGAAGCTCCTGACCTCAGCTTGAGCAAACCCTAACTGTTGAGGCAGTCTGAAAACTGAACCAGCTATGGAAGATTCTAAATCTCATTCTCTTAACTTTACCTTTCAGATAAATTAAAAAAAAAATTGTTTTTTTTTTTAAAGAAAAGGTAAGTAACCACTGCATTTTGGGAAAGCTGTCTTATAAGGCATTTTCACTTATGAAAAACATGAGATTTCTGCTACTGCTGAAAATTCTCCAAACACCAACTGATGATGGCTTTTTTGTCCTTTCTGATGTTTGGAACAGGATGCTGAAAATGCCATTCAACAGATGGGTGGCCAGTGGCTTGGTGGAAGACAAATCAGAACTAACTGGGCAACCCGAAAGCCTCCAGCTCCAAAGAGTACATATGAGTGTAGGTGTATTGGAGAAGAACAGGAAATGTGGAATTGTGGAGAAAAATACACTAGATTTTAAATGTTAGAGCTGTTCCCGGAGACTTGATGCAAAATAGATGAGAAGCAAATCAAGACTACTGTTCAAAAATGTACTTAGTTTTCATTTTTGTAATTATATTATTTCTAATGTCAAGTCTCCTGTTAAGTAGAGAATATTGGGTGATGTTTTAGACATTTTTGGGGGAGGGTTGCTCTTGAACCCAAATGTACTATGTGTTATATATAGATTCTGATGACAGTAAATATTATTCTTATTTAAAGTAGTATAGTCGATGCCTTTTTTCTCTTTCTGGACATTTTACTTAATGCATTAAAACTAGAAAACTTTTTCTCTCCCCAGCAAATGCCAAACAGTTATCATATGATGAGGTTGTAAGCCAGTCTAGCCCAAGCAACTGCACAGTCTACTGTGGAGGTGTTACTTCTGGGCTAACAGGTATGACAGTTCTATTGGATGGCATCTGGAAGGCATTTTGTAAACAGAGAACCTTAACATGTGAAGTCTATATATGTATTTCATGTGGTTTCTTTCATTCTTGTTTTTTATCCAACAGAACAACTAATGCGTCAGACTTTTTCACCATTTGGACAAATAATGGAAATACGAGTCTTTCCAGATAAAGGATACTCATTTATTCGGTAGGGCTAATGTTTCTTCTTCTTTTTCTTTCCCCAAAACAATTTTTTTTCCCAAAATAACTTTTTAAAAAACATATGTCTTCATATTAGTTGGAAGTCATAGTTACAGAGAAAGAGGAAGAGACTGAGAGAAAGATCTTCCATCTGCTGGTTCACTGCCGAAATGGCCACAAATGCCTGGAGCTAAGCTGATTGGAAGCTTCTTCTAGGACTCCCCCACAGGTGTCTCGGCTCAAAGACTTGGATCATCCTCCGCTGCTTTCTTAGGGCACAAGCAGGGAGCTATATGAGAACTGGAACAGCTGGGACATGAACTAGCACGCATATGGGATGCTGTTGTCACAGATGGAGGATTAGCTTACTATGCCATTGCTCTACCTACCCCAACTCCTCAATAACTTGAATTTTTAATTTTATAATTCCCTTTAAAATCATCATAGATGTAAGGAAATGAACATTTCTCTGATATGTAGCTTTTTTTTTTCTTATAACTCCTTCCAACAACAACAAAAAAAAAACAGTGAGACACATGCTCTCTTAAAACAAGTTTTAGTCTGGTACTGTAGCCTAGTAGCTGAAGTCCTTGCCTGGCATGTACCAGAATCCCATATAGGGGTTCCAGTTCATGTCCAGGCTGATTCACTTCCCTTCCAGCTCCCTGATTGTGGCCTGGGAAAGCAGCAGAGGATGGTCCAAAGCCTTGGGACTGCACTTGTATAGGAGACCTGGAAGAAGCTCCTGGTTCCTGGCTTCAGATCAGTTCAGGTCTGACCATTGCGCTACTTTGGCAGTAAACCAGTGAATGGAAGATCTCTCTCCTTCACTCTGTAAAAATCTCTCTTTCCAATAAAAGTAAATAAATCTCCAGCTGTTGTGGTCACTTGGGGAGTGAATCATGGGATGGAAGGTCTTCCTTTGTGTCTCTCCTCCTCTCTGTATGTCTGACTTTGCAATAAAAATAATTTTATTTTTAGATTTTATTTTATTTTTATTGCAAGTGACCACAATGGCTGGTGCTACACTGATCCAAAGCCAGGAGCTAGGAACTTCCTCCAGATCTCCCACATGAGTTCAGGGTCCCAAGGCTTTGGGCCGTCCTCAACTACTTTCCCAGGCCACAAGCAGGGAGCTGGATGGGAAGTGGAGCTGTTGGGATCAGAACCGGCACCCATATGGGATCCCAGCGCATTCAAGGAGAAGTCTTTAACCTCTAGGCTATCATGCTGGGCCCAGAAAGAAATAAATCTTTAAAATAAATAAATAGATCTTTTTTTAAAAGTTTCTATAGAATTGTAAGATTTAAAAGAAATGAATTGTAAGATCTTTGAGCAAAAAATAGCAAAGAAAATATGCCATTTCAGGTAGGGATGAAGGAGAAGGGGAGGAAGGAATTACTATGCCTACCAAACTGTATTATGTATAATAATAAGAAAAAAAAGGAAAATGTCTCACTTTTAATTGATTTTATTTATTTATGTACTTGAGAAAGTAACATAGAGAGGGATGCAAAGAGATCTTCCATCTGCTGTTTCACTCCCCAGATAACCATAACAGTCAGCGCTGGGCCAGGTCAAAAACCAAGAGTCTGTGGCTTAATCCAGGGTCTTCCATACGTGCGCATGGGCTGTCTGCTGCTGCTTTTTCGGGTGCAGCAACAGGTGGCTAGATTGGAAGAGGAGTAGCCAGGTTTAAAACAGCAGCCACGTGTGATGCCAGCATTGCAAGCGATAGCCTAGGTGCTTCCCCAGAACACCAGCACTCTGTATTGATTCTTATATATAGACTACCTGTTTTATCTCAGGCTTACTTAGATTTTCAAAAATAAATTTTATTCATAAATGCTCTTTTGTTTTCAATAGGTTCAACTCCCATGAAAGTGCAGCACATGCAATTGTTTCTGTTAATGGTACCTCCATTGAAGGTCATGTTGTGAAATGCTACTGGGGCAAAGAAACTCTTGACGTAGTAAATCCTGTGCAACAGGTGAGAAGGTCTTTATGGGAAGGGGATTGCTGGGATGATATTGAGATTATTTTTAAAAACTTACTTATTTTTATTTGAAAGGCAGATTACAGAGAGAAGGAGAAACCGAGAGAGAGAGAGAGAGATCTTCTTCCACTGGTTCACTCCCCAAATAGCCACCAGAACCAGAGCTGAGTGATCCAAAGCCAGGAGCCAGGATCCTCTTCTGGGTCTTCCTGTGGGTGCAAGGTCCCACTGCTTTCCCAGGCCACACGCAGGGAGTTGGATGGGAAGTGGAGCAGCCAGGACATGAACGAGCGCCCATATGGGATGTCAGTGGTTACAGAGGGAGAACTAGCTGGTTGAGTCTGATCCCCTGAAATTATTTTAATATAAGGTTTATTAATAATCCTTTTCTGATTCTTAGTTCAAGTGATAATATATAAGGGTTCTTCATTCATGTATTATATATTATAGTTCCAAAGTGGTGATCATGGATTTTTTTTTTAATTTATTTCTTTTTATTACAAAGTCAGATATACAGAGAGGAGGAGAGACAGAGAGGAAGATGTTCCATCCGATGATTCACTCCCCAGGTGAGCTCAACGGCCGGTTTTGTGCCAATCCGGAGCCAGGAGTCAGGAACCTCCTCCAGGTCTCCCACACGGGTGCAGGATCCCAAAGCTTTGGGCTGTTCTCGACTGCTTTCCCAGGCCTCAAGCAGGGAGCTGGATGGGAAGTGGAGCTGCCGGGACTAGATCCGGCACTCATATAGGATCTCAGCACATTCAAGGCGAGGACTTGAGTTGCTAGGCCAAGCCTCCGAGCCCGATCATGGATGTCAATGGGGACATGAGGAGCGTGACTATCTCAGTTGCTTCATGCTCTTACAGTGGATTTTAAAATACTATGGCAAGGGCCCGGCGGGGTGGCGCAGTGGTTAGGGTCCTCGCCTTGCACGCCCGGGATCCCATATGGGCGCTGGTTCTAATCCCTGCGGCCCCTCTTCCCATCCAGCTCCCCGCTTGTGGCCCGTGAAAGCAGTTGAGGACGGCCCAAAAGTTTGGGACCCTGCACCCGCGCGTTGCGCTCACTTTGGGAGTGAATCATCAGATGGAAGATCTTCCTCTCTGTCTCTCCTCTATGTATATCCGCCTTTCCAATAAAAATAAAATAAATCTAAAAAAAAAAAAAAATACTATGGCAAACCTGCCAGGAAGTTAGGTCTTTTCGATATTTGTTAAATTTATTCACATAGTATTTGAAGGACTTGCAAGTATGTTTGACTTGAAACAGAAAAAAATAATAATAAAGCTTCAAATAAACATATAGTCATGGCATTTTCTCCGAGATGCAGCTGCCTTTTGTTTTCCCAGGCAGCGGTAGTGGCTCAGATTTGATCCCACCAAGATTTTTATTGAGAGTTTGTAAATAGAACTCCAAAATGGGAGTAAGAAAATCCCAAAGTACAGGTTTCTTAACTTAACCTGTATATAGGAATAAGTAATTTTTCCTTTCTTGGGACTTCAAGCATTTTCTAATTTTGTTTTAATTTTGTTCACACAGTTGAGAGGGATGAGGAATAAGTAATCTTTATAAGCAGTTTACCAGAGAAATGTGCCCAGTTAAATCTTTACTACCATGTCATTACCTGACGCTTTACAGAAGCTGCCGCTCAGTGGCTGGCGTCTTGGCCCTGCAGCAGCCTTCTGCTCTGCTCCAGCCATTGATGCCATGGGGGGAGTGAATCAGCAGGTGGAAGATCTTTCTCTGTCACTCCTTCTCTCTGTATATCTGACTGTCCAATGAAAATAAGTATTTTTAAAGACTCTGCCATTCTGAGCATCATTAGAGTCCACAAGAAATAATACCTCACTTGTCCTCTTTTTTAGCAGTTATTTACTAAACTCTTGTTTATCCTGTCAGTTTAATTGCAATGAGTGTTAGTGAGACTGTATATACCAACAATTCCAATGAATACTGAAAGATCTATTGTCCTTTTATTTAATAGCAGAATCAGATTGGATATCCACAAGCTTATGGCCAGTGGGGCCAGTGGTATGGAAATGCGCAACAGATTGGCCAGTATATGCCTAATGGCTGGCAAGTACCTGCGTATGGGATGTATGGCCAGGCATGGAACCAGCAGGGGTTTAAGTAAGCATATTTCCTCTTTTCCTTACTGCCATTTGAAACTGCTATAAGAAAGTTGAATTTATAGTTTTAAATATCTCTTTCAAATTTTGCCTAGAATTTGTTGCCTTGAATTGCATCAGTCATAACTTTTAATAATGCTTGAAAATGGATCAACCTATTTTTTTTTTAAAGAAAATAAGAGCTTAATAATTGTTAAAGCTTTTGTGTGGCTAATGTGATTTAGCCATGCTCAGGTACAATATATTGATGCTATTTTGTGTGGGGTGTTTTTTGTTTGTTTTTCTGAATCAAAGGATTTATTTGTATATTACAATATTATATATCAAACTCCCTTATATACCTTAACTTATAACTTTGTTTTTCATTTAAATTATTGGAGGGAAAATTAAAATTTTCAGTTTAAAAAGAATTGTATTTGTAATGGTGAGAAAATGTTTTTTGAGTAACATAAATGCTTTTATTGTGCCAAATAAGCAGATTTCTTTCAGGTAGTGAGTGGTTGAAGTTAAGGCCCACTCAGACTGCGGTAGGCATTTTCCTCTGTCAGATGGGAGATGGGTTTTTCTGAATTACAGGTGAAGGATACAATTTTTTTAAGACTACATTTTTCAAAATTTTATGTTTAAGATTTATTTATTTATTTGAAAGGCAAAGGAACAGAGAGAAGGAGTAACAGATTTTCCATCCACTGTCTCACTCCCAAAATGACCACAATGGCTAGATCTGGGCCAATCCAAAGCCTTGGGCCTGGAACTTCTTCCAGACCTTCCCTTGGTTTCAGGGGCCTAAGCACTTGGACTATCTTCTGCTGCTTTCCCAGACACATTAGTAGGAAGCTGGATCAGAAATGGAGCAGCTAGGACGTGGAGCAGCACCTGAATGCAATGTTGAAGCTACAGGAGGCTGGCTTTAGCGCTATACCACAACCCTGACCTCAAGGATATCTTTTTTTTTTTTTTAACCTGTAATTACTAGTGAGATGAAAATGCATACATTAAACTTTAAGATTGCTTGCTTTTAAGAAAAGAAAATATTGCTTTTACTTTGGGCTTGCCTAAAGTAAGTTACTTTTACATTGGGATTTTCAGGATTTAGTTCCCCTTCCCCAGTGTGTAGATTTGTTTTTGCTGTATGTTGTTTTAATCCATGCATCTCCCCTCCCCTCTGCTTCTTGCCTTCATGTCCTCCTCCAGCCAGACGCCATCTTCTGCACCGTGGATGGGACCAAATTATGGCATGCAGCCGCCTCCAGGCCAGAACGGCAGCATGCTCCCCAGTCAGCCTGCCGGGTACCGAGTGGCGGGGTATGAGACCCAGTGAGAAAAGACTCCAGGAACTCAAGTGGCTTGAGCTACAGGGAGTGTAGGAAAGCCGTTGTTTACTTAAAAGATTTATCAAATCAGCCAGTGCAAATGTCAGATACAATGTATTTATTTAAAAGATTCATTTTTTTAAATCATGAAATTACTTATCATCCACATTGTTTTAAAAAGAAACAAGATGCTGGATGTCTACCAACTTTTGCCTTCATTACCTTTTTTGATAAAGTTTCTCAGATCCTTGTTTCAAATACAAATGCAGGGATTGCTGCCACTTTTTAAAATGAAGAGGCAGAAAATTGCACAATGTTGAATTTTCCTCCACTAAAGTAGTATGCAGTTCTAGTTTGCATTCCTGATATGATTTAAAACATGTAAGATAAAGATGCAAAAAAACAGAAAAACCAAAACTGTGCGGAGTCTGGAAGATCTTTGCCATCTTCAGCTTATGCACAATTCTGTTCTAGGTTAAAAAAAGAAAAAATATTGTTTGAGCTATCCCATTTCCACTGCTATCCCCTTGGGAGTTTTTAACTATAAATTATTAGTTTACATCTTTTTTGTATCTACATTTTTTTTTCACATATTTGTCTTGCCTTATTAAATTTCAGTAAAATATACTGAAACAGAAAACAATGATGTTCACTTAGATTGACTACTTTTCTCAGAGGGATTGATAATTGCATTCGTCTTGTTTTATATGAGAAGGTGCCTCAAGAATTTCCTGTTGGGTTTGTTTAAAAGGATTTTTATCTTCTGTGTACTGGGAATTGTAAGAACAAAAACTTATTACTAAAGAAAAATCTCTGAACTGTGATAAGTTCTTATGCCATGTTAATTTCATGTGTCAACTTCTACATTTACATGTATTGTCTTATTGTGTAAAATGTTTTAGCAAGTTAATACTTTGCACAGGTAGCAAACTTTGTACGTCATTTCCTTGTTAAAGGCATCATGCAGATTTGACATGAGATTGGTAAGGTTTTCAGCTGTTTTGCATGTGAACATCAAATACATACTTTGATAGTCTTTGAATACAAAATCATCTGCTCTTGTTTTTATGTAAAGACAGAATATGCTTGTTTGCCATTTTCTAATTTGATTTACTTTTTAAAAAGAGTAAATCAACTTAATTTTAATATGTACAAACGATAGCTGTGAAACTGTAGAACATCTTTTTGTCAGGCTTGGGGTCCACTGTGAACTCCAATATTAGCCTGGAAGACCAGCCAGGCAAAGCATTTTTTTTTAAGTGTACAGAGGCCAAAACACTGAAGGAAAAAAATGCGAAAAGGAATAAACAAATAACAACCACAGCAAAAAACACAAACCTTAAAATCCTACCTCCTTAAACAGTCTTGAGAGAAGAGAAGCCTCAGTGCAATCATCATTTGGATGGTTTTGGTACCTGCTCTCCTAGAGTTCCAATTTTGTATTTTGCTTTTTTTTTTTTTTGGTGCTCCAAGCATTAAGACTGGAGCATTGTTCACATTGTTCTCATCTTGAAGTTTCTAGTACATTTCAGAGTTTCTTAGAAAAGTTGTTGGGAGATTGGGTTTGGTTTTGTTTTTAGTGAAAGTTATCAACCTCCCTCTTTGACCCCCCCAAAAGGAAGGGTCAATATTTGGTGTCTCCTCAGACCTTCTAGAGCTCCAGGCATTTTACTGAGGACTAGAAAAGGCCTGTGGCCTCTTGCATTTCCTGGCCTGCACCTTGCAGGTAGGAGCACAGCATCGCACTGGGCTAAGCCAATAACCCAGTCTTACCATGTCTATCAGAGCCTGGGCAGGACAGCTGCACACTCTGTCCCCTAGAGCTCATTCTATGCAGTTGTACTGATGTCTCATGAAGTCACTGTGTATTTTTAAGTGTTGATACATTAAAAAAAATTGTTTTATGGAAGATGAGTGAATTTTATACATACTTGGAAATTGTATTTCCTTGTTAACTTCTACAGATCAGGGCATGTAACCAAAAGCAGCTTAAATACTCAAAAACAGCAAGAAAGAAGGAAATCAGGAAACTATTTTTAGACACTTCTAGCTTATGTTTTCATTTGAGGACCTTTACTGTTTTTCTCTTCTTAAACAAAAACAAAAACAAACAAATAAAGCCCACAGTTTTTTTCCTGTACATCTCATGGACTGCAGGGTAAATTGTTGGAGTATAAATAACTAATCAAAATGAAAGTATGGTTTGCTTTGATTTGGACTCTCTAACATAGCCACAGTTTTTATTAGCCGGGATGTTTTCTTATTGCACAAACCTTACAATGAACTTTGACTACTTTTTTGAGAAGGACATAGTAGTACTGACCATGAAAAGGTTACTACTGAACAAACTCACATTGCAGGAACATTGTGGACTTTGGTTTAAAGTTCTGTTAAGATAAACCAAAGGTTTTTCAGTCGAAAAGTCAAACTGATATCAGAAATCAGGAAAGAAAATCAGAGTTCCTAAGCCAATCTTTCCCTGCAGTGTGCATTCAGCGTTGACTTACTGCTACTGTAAAGAACTTGACTTGATTCACATTTAATGAGTCATTCATCCAGTGTTCTTTACCCTGTTTGCATATTAAAGTTCCTTTATGTTTTATATAACCTGTGGTATCTTCTTGCAGTGATTATTGTGTGTGAATTTTTTGGTCTAGTTACATTGTTATATTCAGTTAGATATTTATTGATTTTTTTTTTCTATCTTATTCTGGAAACTGCTATTTGCCTTGGTTAACTATTTAATAGGACAAAGGATTAGCTTGATGAACCCAGGGTCTCATTTTTCTTACTCATATTATATCTCTGTTTAAAATGAGATTCACAGTCTAGTTTTTATTTTCCTGTTTTGTCCATGTTTGTGTGTGTGAGTGTGTGTGTGTGTGTGTGTGTGTGTGTGTTTAAGTCTGTTCCATTTGATAGGGCAGGTAATACAAATGGAATTGCACCTGCCATGAGAGTTAGGTATAGATAACATAGGGTGCTTCTGAGATAACAGTTGAACTAGAAAAGCAAAATATATTTAAAAAAAATTTTTAAAGCAGAAGCTTTTTAATAAGAGTGATGATTTCCAAAAATACCTGCTTTGTAGTGAGTTATTACATTTTATTCCAATTATTACATTTTGATTGTTTAGAGTTTGCAGCACAGACCTCCAAAACCACAGATTTTAAGAGCCTTAATAAAATGTCTAAATCTATTTCAACTGAATAAGATTTCTACTAATTATATAGGAAGTATTATTAATTAAATAAGAATGAAATACAATTCTTCATTTGTGGACTGCTTAATATGGTTATAGGTTAGAAGGAATTAACTGTGAAATCTATAGATATCAACAGTAGCATACCTTAAGAGAAAGGGAGGCGCAGGGACTGCTATTGCTTGTCAGCCCATTTAAGATGGGTGGCCAGATGGCTAAACCTGTGTGCCCCCCTGGCTTCAGAAGTGAAGTTTTTATCATGGTTGACATAGTAGTTACACTACAGCCTTTAACGTTGGAGGCCAACATTATTCCAATAAGATTTTGACTTTTTTAATCGGTTTTGCCATATGGAAAATAAGGATGAAATACAAATGTGAATGCTGGATAATGAGATCCTTAGCTCCTTTTTTCTCCAGCTCAAGAATATCTAATGCCAAAGTGATACCCACCAGGCAGGTTGTCAGAAGATCTTTGGGTGAAAAAATTAAATGGCTCCCAGGAGAAAAGAGGCCAAATGTCCACAGATCCCTTCCAGATAGGTTTTCAATGCTTACCTTCTGTATAGGAATAGCCAAATGTTGCCAGGAGCCAGAAAAAAACTTTTAGCTCTAATCAAAAATCAGTGCTCAAGAATTTGAAAATTTCCAAGAACCATATCCTCTGTAAGAGTAGACACAGTATTCATGAAATTAAAGCAGGATGCTTGTAAAGAATCCAGTTAAGATTTAAAATATGAATGAATTCAGTGAGAATGTTAAAAGATAAGACATTTCTCTCTTTAGGAGAGAAATCAAAAATGCAAAGAAAAAGTGGAGTTGATCAAGAAGTTTGATGAAAAACCTGTCAGACTACAGGAAGAGAACTAAGAAAAAAATGAGTAGGAACTTTTTTTTAAGATTTATTCATTTTTATTATAAAATCACATATACAGAGAGAAGGAGATATACAGAAAGATCTTCCACCTGCTGGTTCATTCCCCAAGCAATGGCCAGAGCTACGCCAATCCGAGGCTAGGAGCCAGGAACCTCTTCTGGGTCTCCCACGTGGGTTCAGGGTCCCAAGGCTTTGGGCCATCCTCGACTGCTTTCCCAGGCCACAAGCAGGGAGCTGGATGGAAAGTGGAGCACTGTCACACACAAACTGATGCTCATACGGTGTCCCAGATTGCAGGAGGAGGATTATCCAATTGAACCATTGTGCTGCTCCCAAAAATATAAACATTTCAAAGGAGAAAAACCTATCTGAAACAAGATCATTCAGCCCTTTCTGTAGCTGTCAGGGTGTTACTCAGGAGCAATGCATCTGTCTGTGAATTATGTGGATTTGTTTTTAAGTAAATCACGAGCTTATCTTCTTAATTGCTTCAAGTATTTAACAAAGAGCAATGCTAATGAATATTGTAGGCAGGATGTAAACAAAAACAATTTTTGTAATTTGTAATCATTTCCAATCTGAGGTGTGCATTTTACTTGGGACAAACTGGTAAGGAATCAAAACATCTGCGTCTTGTCCCCACCAGAGCACACACACACATCGCCCTGTCACATGACTGCTAGCAAGTCCAGGTGAACAGTCCTTTATCCCCAGAGCAAGCTCAAAACATGGGATCTACCCTGTAAAACCCAGGAACACACGCAAAGAATGAAGCCCCAGTGAGTGGCCAACTGATGTCCTTGAGGGGCTGCAGCCTCTGCTGGGCTGCTTTGCTGAGCTTTCCCATGACAAGGGCCCATCCAGTTACCACAACAGGTGTCGGAGAGAAGGAGCACAAAAGCTCTTGCTCGGTACTTAAGGTTTTTTGCTTTTTATGTTATCTGAAAGGCAAAGTTCGAGAGACAAAGGGATCTTCCCATTCACTGGTTCATCCCACAGATGGCTGCAATAGCAGGGGCTTGGGCTGGGCCAGGCTGCAATCTGGAGCCAGGAACTCCACCCTGGTCTCCCCTATGGGTGCAAAGGCCCAAGGACCTGCATCTTCTTGCAAAGCTTTCCCCAGGCTGTGAACTGGAAGGTGGGAGGTGGACAGGAAGTGGACCATTCAAGACTCACAGGGGATGCTGGCTGTGGCTTAACTTGCTGCACCACAGTGCTGTCCCTCCCCACCCCCACCCTGGCTACTCAGAGGTTGTCGTGCATATTGCAGGATCTTTAGCAATATTCATGGTCTCCACTCACTAGATGCGAGTAGAGCACTTCCACTTAAAAAAAAAAAAAAAATTAGACTGCTTTTTGAGCCTGCTGGCTGAAGTCCTCGCCTTGCATGCACCGGGATTCCATATGGACACCAGTTCATGCCCTGGCTGCTCCACTTCCCTTCCAACCCCTAATTGTGGTCTGGGAAGACAGAAGGGGATGGCCTAAAGCCTTGAGACCCTGCACCCATGGGGGAGACTTGGAAAGGTTCCTGCTTCCTGGCTTCAGATCAGCTTAACTCCAGCTGTTGCAGTCACTTGGGAAGTTAACCAGCGGATTAAAGATCTTTCTCTCTGTATCTTGCCTTTCCAATAAAAATAATCTTTAAAAAATTATATATATACAGTTATAGAAACTGCTTTAACCCAGCAGTTTGTGTTTATAAATCAGGCATACAAAACACAGTATTATCAGAATTCTTTCTAAAAATTCTCTTTAATTCATACACACACACACACACACACACACACACACATACACACGCGTGCACAGTTTGGTGGGCAAGACTTTGAAGCAATTGCTAAGTCCCAGCCAACATCTGTTAACGTAGCAAATCCGGGAGGTTTTTACCTGAATTATTAGTGAAACTAATGTCTTCCATACCAGCCAGGTCGGCCAAAAGTGACCCAGCAACAGACTAGCCCTGAGCCACAGATTGTCCAGGTGAACATGGGTTTTGCCCCACACCCTCGCAAGCCTCCCTAAGAAGAAAAACTACAACTCCCATCAGACAGCGCGAGCCGGGGGCCTGCCGCGCGTGGGCGTCTCTGACCAATGACGACTGTCGTTACAGCGAACATTTTGGCCGCATTTGTAAAAGGCCGCGGCAGGCGAAGAGAGAAGAGGTGAGGGCGGTCATCAGCGGAGGGGTCTCGGGGCCCGCGGGGGGGCGCAGGCAGGTAAGGGGGCTGTGACGAGAGAGGATTCCTGGGCGGCTGCGGGACGGTGGGTGTAGAACTGGGAATCCCAGAGCAGAGTGTTTCTACGGAGTAGGGTGCCGGCAAGGTGATGCTTCTCTTCGGGCCTACTCGGGACCGGAAGTGAGCGGCTGCTCGGGGAGGATGCCGGGAAGCGGGTCCCGGGAGCTGTGTCTCCCGGCGAGTCCGTCCCGGAAGCCGGGCGGAGAGGGACGCGTGGTTGTGTGGCCTGACGCCCCCGGCGTGCGTGTTCGAGGTCCCGGTGGCCGTTTCCCCTTCTTTCCCGGGCAGACGTTGCCGTTGCCGCTTCCTTGTGCGACGACAGGGAATCCAGCAAATCCCAAACTCGAAAGAGTCAGACACCTGCCGGCTCTGATGATTTCGTCAAACCGTCTCCACAGGGGCGAAATCAGGGTGGCGAGAGTGATGACCCGTCGACAAGGCTTGGCACGGAGGACGCTCAGCTGGCTCCATTGTTTGCTCGCGGTGCTGGTTCTCTTGCCCACAGTGTGCTTCGCAGGCGTTCTACCCTCCCCTCCGGGCCGGGAAGGTGTCCAAGGGAACGGTGCCCGGACCCAGAACCCCCGCTCTGGAGCGAGGCTGAGCTCGCTCCCCTGGCACCCTCCCGCTCAGTGCTCCCTGGGCGTTGTTTGAGTTGTGGCGATCGTGCAAACATGGGTATGTGCTTTCTGTGTCGGATCCTACAGTACAAACGAAGCCATCAGCTCAGTGGCGCGGAAACGGAGGCGTTCCCCATGTGCCTCGCTGTTTCCAGCACCGGGACTGTTAACATCTAACAGAGAAAGTACCACATCTGTTTCCGTTTCACAATACATCTCGACACTTGTTCCTTATCTGTACACATAAACCCTCTTTTTTTTTTTTTTTTCCTTAACGTTTTGTTGTGTGTTTAGTCACTTTTGACCAGCTGTGAGTTTGCATCTTCATGTGCGTGTATGGACAGCTTTCACAGTCGGGGTCCTGTTGGACCAGGCGCACACAGGTGAAGCTGGAAGGCATAGCATCTTAGAACCGAGTTGGCTAGGACAGCGTTTAACCTGCTCTGCGTGGGAGAGGCTGTGGCGGCCCCCGCTGCCACCGAGTGTCGAGGTCTCTTTCTGCACATCTCCCTCTTCACACTGATGGCTTGCACAGTTTTGTCCCTTTGCCATAGTGGTATGTTGCAATTCGCTTCTTGCTGTTAGGTCAGATAACTCTCTTTTTAGGTGCTTTATTCAGTTTTCTGACATTTCTGTCCCTTTTCCTTTTGTAGAAGCTTTTATTTCAGGATATTAGCCCTAAGGTGTTTGGATTTCAGATAGTTTTGCTCTTTTTAAATATAACATCTTTATTGAATATTATTCATTTCACACACAAAAAAATCACTTTACGGGCTAGCACAGTGACTCACAGGCTTCGTGCCAGTGCTGGGATCCCCATATGGGCACTGGTTTGTGTCTCGGCTGTTCCGCTTTCCATCCAGCTCCAAGTTTGTGGCCTGGGGCAGGGCTCTGATCCTTGAGCTCCTGCATCCGCATGGGAGAACTCGGGGAAGCTCCTGGCTTCTAGCTTTGGATTAGCTTAGCTCTGGCTGTTGTGGCCATTTGGGGAGTCAAGTATTGGGTGAAAGATCTCTCTCTTTGTCTCGCCTTCTATCTGTAAATATCTGCCTTTCAACATAAAAACAACTAAAGCTTTTGTAAAAATCACTTTTATAAACAGAAGATTTTCTTTTTTTGAAAGGCAAGGAGACAGAAGAGAGAACTCGCCCATCTGGTTCACTGTTCAGGTGTCCGTGACAGCTAGGGCAGAGCCAGGCTGGCACCCGAAGCTTGATCCTGCCTTTGCTGCTGCCCGAGCATGTTATCAAAAATCTGGGTGGCAAGCAAG